GAAACTTAGTCAACATGCAGGTCTAAAATTTGTCTACCCAAGATACTGTATATTACCGCCAGTTACTCAGAACTGGAAAACGAATGCCTTAACTGTGTGCATGCACGTTAAATTTGTGGAAGTTCGTCTCTGATCACGCCACACTGAAGTCTAGCAATGCGTTTTTTGTTAGGTACACCGATAAACGAGAATAGCCCCGTGCTAGCAGCAATAAATATCGAAGGAAACGGCTTAGTTAGGCTTACATTTACAGATGGAGGATATGGCTTGTTGGCATGAACATGTAAAGAAGTAAAAGAATACCTAAAATATCCTCTGACTTGCTCGAAAAATTAGGACCGACACGTCGATTGGGCCTCCTATCATTAACTGTCTACCGGGACGTCATTGCATATATGACGCCAGAGTCAATGTTATCTGTGTAGTTTGAAGTTCTGATGGTCTAGGTTTAAATGCCAGCTCACGTTCTTTGTTATAACTCGGGCTTGACAGCAGAACAAGACTTCATGGCAGCCACATGATCACTAACGCAAATGACTCGCAATGTCAGAAGAGGGGATGTTATTCGACAGCCCTCCTAATATCTCTTTCTCTCTGTGTGTGTGTTTAAGAAGTAAATCAATGGTCATCATAAGGAGTATGGAGCAAAAACTACATCCTCTATGCAAGAACTATATTTGCCTACATTTCTTCATCGGGACCGAAAAGGCCTAATCATCAGACTTCCCGGACAAACTAGTACTTGATCTAATTTATGAATGCGAATTGCACCAACGTCCTAACAGGAGGTAGATGATTTGCATGGCACAGTTGCTTTTCTTGTCCAAGTGACCTTTTTGGGACCTCTTTAGTAATGACTTGTTCTTGTCCTATCGTTCATTTTTGTGTAGTTCCTGTCCTCCCAGCTGGATCATTGACTCGATACGCAGTCGAAACTTGCATGAATTGCTGCAGCTAAGAAAGGGTGCTTGATCAAGTCAAAATGCAAACCCCAAATGGGCTGTATAAAGTTGGCCGATCAGAGCATAACTGTACGGAAGGGCAGACTAATTCGACCCTATTTACTGAATATGCAGCTTACGTCGAACAGCGGCTGCTGGCACCACGACCCCTAGTTGTGGCACCTGCAATGCATTGTACGCACTCTATCGTCATCACGTTGGCTAATTCTGTGCGTCATCACCAAGATACAAGAACACTGTCCGACACCGCCATCCACCACCGTCACCGCTGCCATCACCGCCCCCTCCCCCCAAATGTGCAGGAAATGCACCCCTCATACAAAGCGGGAAGCATGTCCCTTGCTGCACACATGTGCCCGGATCGATAATGAGACCGTGCGGCATGCGCAGACGAAATACCGTAGCCATGCCATCTGTAGCAGCCGCTCCAGTTCGCCTTTTCTCCGGCTCCGCTTTGTCGAACAATGGCCGCGACAGCTGTTGACACACGGAAACCCCTGGCGGCTAGAACTGGGACACCTCCGGTCCAACTCCAGTGACTGTCGGCTGACCTCACAAACTTTCATCACCTCAGGCGCGTCAAACGTATTGGCTTGATACCCGTGAGGCATTGTGAGTATGCCCCCCCCCCATTTTCCTCCCCTATTTTGTCCAATCACACAACCAACACTCAGCCAGTCACCCCCTGCTGCTGACCCAGACACTCACAACCGCGTAAACAACACACTGCGACTGACACACTCCGTGAACGGGCACTTATTTTTGTCGCAAGCAAACAGCCAACTTACGGCAACCTGCCCTGCGTATAGAATAAACTAGTCCTCACAGCTCCCTAACTTCTGATATTAGACGAAACGAACTTATTGTGCGTGGTTTAAGTGGATCTCACATCCTTGACCGCCACACATCCACTGAGTCCAATCCCAGCTAAGGATGAATGGCAGGCTCGGACAGCCAATGGCTGTCCGGGAGAGGAGAGAGAGACCTGAGCCGACAGTGTGGAACCCATTACCACGGCACATCGACGCACTCCTCACTCTAACAAATCTGAAACGCTTGATGCGCGAAAAGTCGTGGCTTGGAGGCCTGTCAAATTGAGGGGATAACCGGGTCCTCGCGGTCAGTCCTGTGTTTGGAGTGGCTGACTGGTGAGCTGAAAGTCAGGCCAAGTGACTCCTCAATGTGGTCTCTATGGTACTATCACACATGCGAGGTCCGAGCCATCACCTAGTCTCCTTACAACCCCCGCCCGTGTGTGGCACGTGTAGGTAGGCACTTGACTTTTTCTGTCATCGTACCCGGTTCCGTCTCCAGTCACCCTGACTTAACCTTTCCAGTCGGCTGAAGTAGAGGTAGGAGAGGATGCAGCAGATACTGCGTAAGTCTGTTGTCACCACAAACTAATTCTTAAGAAATTCACCGTTCTACGCCCACCATGCTGTGGGATACAAGGTTGACATCGTTGTTCACGACGGTTGAACTGGCCACTATTTTGTACGTTTTGACTATCCTCTTTTCTCTCTCAAGGGAATTTTTATCTTAAGATGAACCAGCGCTTTTACGTGCTGACCACTTTCGACGCCAATTTGTGCAATCTAAATCATATATATATATATATATATATTATGATAGTGGGCGCTCACCGATCAGGTTACGGAACATGCTCGTTCCGTTGTGCCTTGGGGCTCATACTTAAACCCTCGCAGGCAGTCGCACAGCGACTAGTGATATATGTTGAGAAGATGATACCGACAAAGACAAGGGAGACCGGAATGGCCATTTCTGGCTTATTAGCCGTCATCAGCCAGTCATACCCAACCCCACCGTAACCTGATCGGTGAGCGCCCACTATCATAATTAATATTCCCGATCACAACCGACAGGACAACGGGCCCGTGGCTC